GTGACTGCGAGCTTAGCGTGTTTATCAGCTAGTTCATTTCCTTCGATGCCGATGTGCCCGGGGACCCACATGAGAGTGATTTGTTTGTTTTTATGCAAGGCTTCATTTAATTTGTTCAGTATTTTTGTYGCTATTTCGCCGGGTTTGAACTGGTTTTTTATGCTATTAAGGGCACCCAAGGAGTCATAAGATAGATATCTTAAATCGTGGCTTTATCTATATATTTTGATTATCCGCCCATCATCGCTAGGAACCACGATTTAAGATATCTTAAATCGTGATACTAAACAACGCAATAAGCCGAGCCGGAATCTTATTGAAAACTCACGTGACTAAAATGACGAGCCTGTTACGCCAACTACGGCATTTGATAGAACCACGGCTATAGATATTCCGTGTGTTCCTAAATTCATCAGATTGGTCAGCCGCTGGATTTGACTGTTCCTAATTTCAGCAGCTGGTCAATCCGCTGGAGGGGAGGTAATCAAGCCGATTGACTTATCAGCAATCCACTATTTTACGGATGGACTGAAATAAAACCAGATGGATTTGATAACAATTATTCGCGCCAAAATTAGCGTCATTGAATTTGTCACTGATCATAACATATTATGTCATTTAATTGTCACAACATTTAAAGTCAATGTCATCATATAAACTTGTAATATTTCTTATACGCACTTTTGATGTTTTTAAATATAACTGAAAAAGCAGTTCAATCCAAAGATTTATTTAAAGTTTAAACACTTTAGGTCATTTAATCTAAATAACAAAATAAATTTTGATAAAGTATTATCCATTTTATTTATAATTTAAATAAATGTTTAAACTTTAAAATTTAAAAATAAATTATGCAAAATCACAATCTTGCTTGAATATAATTGATATTATGATAACATTATAGCGGTCGATGGTGGTCAAATGTATTAACCAACTTGTTCCAACGTAATTCCCCAAAAAGGTGTTCCTAAACCCCAATCCTTAATCTCTTTTCTATGCCCCAATCAATCCGCTGGAATAAGTGATGAATTTAGGAACACACGGATTATCTATAGCCGTGGATAGAACTAATTGTACAACGGCTATTTATGTACATATATTATCACAGATTATATAAAACTTATATAATATTTTAAATAAATAAACTTATAAATATTTTATATAATCTGTGATATTATCATTATATTATTGTTCTATGATATTATGCAGATTTGCGGACCATAAACCTTTTTTATAGACCAGTTGACTACGGTTACGGCTATAAATATTTGATTTAGTATTTTAAAAATATATCATTATGGCTAATTGTTGTGTAAACTATAAACCATGAACATTAGAGTACTCTAATGTTCATGCTATAAACTATAAACCTGAATATTTATTTATTGCATACCTACGACCTACCTATTTATAATATTTATATAGAATTTATAGATGAACATTAATATTTTTGTATTACTATATTTTACTTCTGTATAATAAATTGAAGAGACAAATAAAAACCTTTATTACTAAGTCCAACCTTATCAATAGTATTTAATGTAAACTTATATATCATGTAAATAATTTAGAGTTAAACCCATTGTTGCCAATGCCCATAGTTGCCGAGGCTTAATTCAAATAAAAAAAAATAAAATAAATTGAAGAACAAGATTTATGATAGAAATACAGAAACAAAATATTAGAATAATTATATTTTATTAATGAAGTCATACAATTTATCACCTAGAGAGCGCTGTGTGCTGGTGTAAAAGCCAATACACGTTTTGAGCCTCACATTTTCACGGTTCGTTCCGCAACCATATTATCTATAGCCGTGGTACAGAGTAGGCGGGAGTTTAACGACACCAACCTCTGTTTTATTAAAAATGGATATAAAGAAATATCGTATTATTGTACTCGTAATCACTGTTATTATTATAATTTATAATAGTACCTGTAAATTATTTAACATTTAATATTTTAATTTTAATATAATATATTATACTTGTCTATGATAAAATGGATCATAACTATGCTCGACAAAGTATGTATTTATTTTCCTTTGATTAATTTATCMTTTAAATAAAATTATATTTATTTTTTAGTTCCCCAAGAGAATATTCTACTTAATAATAGTTAAATGAAAAAACAACAAAATCACTTTAAAAAAGTTAAAATAAGTTAGACAATATTTATTTTATAGTCGTACCTAGTTTCTACCTAAATTAAATTCAGATTTTGGTTTCTTACAGTTGGCTATACTGATGTAGTAAACTGTGGTTGTAGGAGAATTACTGATATCATCCCATATATATATGCCAGGAAATTACTCAGAGCGGCGGGCTTGTCTTATCAGCTTATTTTATTTCTTCTTTGATGAGTGGCGACTGGCGAGTGGATTACAACCACAGATAAGTTTTATATTGTTCTATGGTTTTATATAATCTGCTTGTGCTTGTGCTACAACACTAACCAGACGCCAGAGTTCGGTCTAAGGAATCGAGTCTCGAGTCTACCTTGTAGCATAGTTCTGTGCGACTGAGCTTGTAGAGACCGTATGGTATATAGTGCCTATGATTGTTGAATGTTGATTGTGTTTCATGACTTCGTTTATGGTGTATAGTGTTTGTACTGTTTGTAGGTAAACTGTATGACATTCGTAGTTATTGTAATTACCATTTACCAGTTACTAGTTGCGTCTCATTCTTCATAATTACAAATTGACGGTTATTATTCAGCGTTAAATGTAGATATTTCGAATTTTAATTTTACTGTAAACCGTAAAGTGTGAATAAGATTTGTGTAAACTGATATACCTAGTTATCTAGTGACTTGAGGCTAGACATTTGGCAACTACTAGAAGGTGAGATTCAGCTATTATTTTATTGATCTATTAGTTTTAACTGTTATTCAATTATAAAATATGTAGATGTATTATGTATGCATTACTGTATTGAAATGTTTATGTACTTTGGACAAAATATTTTTCGAGGGCAAATTTTCATTAAATTCCCATTCTGTTGCTTTCATTTTTTTCTCTTTTATATGGTTTATTTTTTTTAGTAATATATGTTTATATATAAAAACAATTAATATTTTTGTTTTAAAGGTTAGTGAACATTTATCATTATGAGTAAGCGCAGAGCAGGTAATGAACTAACCAAAGACAATTGGGATGAGGAAGAAGAAAAAGTGGATCCAGGAACATTTAAGGTAGCAGACGATTCTGTATTGAAAAACCGAGTTCTAAAAAGAGCAAAAAGAACATTACAAAGAGATGAATCTGGTGAACTAAAACCAATATTTTCTGGATTTTCTGGATTCAACAGTCTATCCAGTAATTCAAATTCTAAACAAGCATTTTCCTTTTTGTCAAAATCAAATGACATACCCAGTGAGAGTGGAAATCATCCATCTGCATCAACGATTAATTCATTGACTACGTCTAGTAGCTTAACATTTTCAGAAAGTAACAGTTCCAAAAGTTCAACTCCACCAATTGTTAATCATGTTAAGGTGATGAAGCTAAACGAGGCATTTGTTAAATTTATTACAAATGCTGTGCAGAAAAATCCTTATTGCGTGCTAACTCCTTCATTGAAAGACTATGAAAAACAAATAAGCAAATTCGTCGATCTTTCTAGTTTTAAAACAAACACGCCTGATACTTCAATGGCTTCTAATAAAGGTTTGCATATTTATATATTTATTTATTAAGTCAAATTTTTTGTTGTCTCAAACTCAATTAAAATGTTATCTTTTTTATTTCTCTCGAGTTTTAGCATAAATAAAGTTTACTGTTTTTAAAATTTTATATTTTAAAGTTAGGGTAATAATTATGATTATTAAAACATTTCTATGCTCTGTGCTGTGCCAAGAGATAACATTACCATTTTGTATATGCAGACTCAAGGCACCAACCGATCCGAGGCCCCATTTCCTACACTTTGTACCACAACTATATAGATTGTATATTTATGTATAATAGTGTCAACCCTTGCTGAACGTGTTCTATTTGGATCATGGTAATGTTCTCTCCTGACACATAATATAATATATTATATAGGTATAGTATATTTTATGATTTAACAAAATGTGTACTATACCTATAAATACTATTTTATTCTGAAAATATTGGTGTTATTGATTTTTGAATAGATATTAGTATAATCAATGCTAATATAATATTTAATTTAGAATAAAATATAAATCTCATATTTAGGTAAGCTATGTTAGGTATATTATTTAAATGTAAGCATAAATTCTGGCATTTAATTTTTTAAGCAAACATAGCCATGTTGCATTTGATTATTTATTAAGACATTTTTAATTGTTTTAATACCTTATGTGAAATTGTGCTTATTGAATTCGATTAAAAAATAGAACATAAATAAATACTGCTTATAATAATGACTGAACTTTTTAAAGTAACTTAGGGACTAGGGTATACATCTCTATTTGTATACTTTCAATGGCTTACAGAAGTCTAAATTCTATTATACACCAATGAGGTAGATGTCTTTCTGACTATTTATCATCTGTTGTATAGAAAAAAACTTAGTTAGCACTATTATTTTGGGAAGTTAGGGATAATCTCTCTTTAGAGTTTCAATTTTATCTTAAATTTAAATGACTTTTAATATTCTGTTATAAATTTTTAATGAAATGTTTCAGGATCTCCTCAAATATCAGTAATGGAAAGTAAAATAACACGTACAAAGAACTCTGATGAAGTAAAAAATAATTCTGTCAATGCCCAGAAAAATGAAATTAGTTTTATAAATCCAATTGGCAATATTTCTAGCAATGAACAATTATTTAGTTTTGGTAATACAAGCCAAGACAGTAGTACTAAAGAATTAAGTACAAATATTTTGAAAATTGATAAGACGTCTACAGAACACACAGAAGAAAAAAATGAAGAAACAAAATTAAAACCATTTTCTTCAGAAGAATCAAAGAATACACTTGCAACAGGGAATAATGGATTTAAGTTGGGTGAATTCAAATTTAATAATCAGCCATTGTCAACCTCTCTTACTAGTAAATCTCCTGACTTTAAATTTAGTGATGATAAAACATTGGCATTTAATTCTAATGACAAAAAACCATCCCCCTCAGATAAACCTGTTGTATGCAAGACATTAAACACGAAGCCTCCATTCAATTTTGGAGGTTCTCAACCATCATTTTCATTTAAATCTACTGAACAAAATAATTCCAAGCCATTCTTTAGTTTCGGATCAAAATCTCCTACCATAACATTTTCTGCTGAAAATTTGAAGACTCCTCAGGAACCTCAAAATCCACAAGATGAAGATGAGGATCAACCCCCAGTTGTGAATTTTACACCTATTAAAGAGAATGATGCAATTTTTGAGTCTAAAAGTAAACTATTTTGTTTTAAAAATGGTAAATATGAAGAACTTGGTGTTGGTCAATTGTATTTGAAACCAGTGGATGATAAAAAAATACAATTAATTATGAGGAACGATAGTGCCTTAGGAACTATAATGGCAAATACATTACTGAATGAATCTGTGAATTTTACTAAACGCAACTCAAAAAATGTCCAATTAACATGTGTTCTTGATCCTACAAAAAGTACCAAACCTCAAACGATTCTATTCAAATTTAAGGATTCACAAATCACTGATACTTTTGAAAAGGAACTAATCAAACTGAAAAATTAGTCCCAATTATTAAGTTTTCAGATTAAAAATAATTGATTTTCTTATTTGTATAATTTAATGTTCTTCCAGACTATATTATTGGTGAAAAAATACATACTATTGTGTAAGAACTTTTATTGATTTAAGTAGGTTTCATTTATATTAAATAAACAATAAATAAAATAACATTGGTGTTTTAATTTTTAACCTCCATGTAATGTAGATATAAATGTAATATTGTCATTATTCTTAATTTGATAATTTAAATCACCCAAGAGCTCCCAATCTTGGTCATTAACAGCAACAATGATGCCTGGCCTCACAGTGTTGCCTTTCATGAACAAATCGCATTTGTCTTTGTCGACCAATATGTTATCTTTAATCCAGAACAGGAGCAAACCTAGTGTCCAAGGCTTTTTCGCTTCAGGCAATACTACTTTGTGTTTCTTGACATTGTCAAATAAAACTTGAAGTCCACTTGTAAATTCGGTAGTTATGTTCAGTCCTTTTTCCATTATTTTCTAAAAATTTCAGCTACATTTAAAATAGCTATGAGGAAATAAAAGTTTAATTCGATGTATACTACTCTGTTACCTGTTGGTACCTGGTTGTTGTATTTTTTGTAATAAAATGTCACAACGCGACGATTTTAAATAAGGGAATTTACTTTTATAAGTAATATTGAAGTTTAAGCGTAGTTGGACATTTCGAATTTGTAAATATAAAACAAGCTACTAGCTAGAATAATAAAAAAGAATTGAAATTTGAAATTATTAGTTAAAAGAAAACAGTATTTAAACTCTAACACAAATAAACAATATATATTGATGATATGAATCATGATAACAACATGTTCCAACTCTGTTAACAATATTTGAAAAGATTATTCAGGGACTCCAACATGGACAATAATTGCCAATTATTATTGTTATACTTTGTTTGAAAATTTTTTTTTCAAAAGGTCTGGTAAACTCTGTTCATTTATCAGGTATAAGTAATTGAATGGCGATATTGTTATAATAAATATAAATTTAATTTATAAAACTAAATTAATTATAATAATTCGCCATGTTTCCCTAAGAATATGATAACTGTATAGTGTATTTTATTATGTTTTTATTTTGTTATACCTTATATGTCCTTATACTTATTAAAATAATGTAGTTTTGAATTATTCCAAAATGTATCTCTTTTTTTAAAATTATAAGAGAAAAGGACTGAGCGTTTGAGCATCATAGCTCAATTAGCTCATAGCAGCTGATCATAGACCTATAAAAGAATGGACCGCGCGGCGCGCATAGAGAGAGAATATATATTGTGAATCAAAGATATGTGCGAGAGAGAAAGCGCTGTCAGAAATACCAAAGAGATTGTAAGCAAAAATATATTACTTAGTCTTTGAAATATTTTATATTTGTACCAAATAACAAATAACTTAAATAACTATAATTTTATTATTGAATCGTTCTATTTCTGTAAATTTTATTGTACATTACATATTATAGAACACTGAATAATACAACTGTCCATTATACTGAATATTGAATAATGATTGTCTGATTATTACAGTGACTAACTTATAATGTAAGTAAATAGGTTGTTTAATTTCAGAAGAGATATCATTGCCATCACAATACTCAATCAAGTTTGAAAACAATTAAGCCGCATGCAAAACATACATCATGTAGGTACATAGGTACAATAAGATTCACCATTAGTGTAAAAGTGTAAAGCAGAAAAACATGAAAGGTATATAATATTCACTTATTATAAATTTTTATTATTGATCGTATTTCAGTATTTGTCATTAGAAGCAGAAATTTTCTTTTTTAAACTTAATTATACAGATATGAATATTTAAAATTGTAAATAGTTTTTACATCTTAAAATACTTATAACTCGATTTCATTGACATATATGTTTTATATGTCTATGCTTGATTTACAATTAAATTACTATAAAAAGCATATGAGGTTGTCTAGATAATAATCTTACCTTTAAATTTTATTCGAAGTCAATTCACTCTAAATTTTAAACTAACAGAGCTACATTGCCTACATTAGCTCCAAGTATTCTGCTGAATGCTGATTGTAAAAGTTGTTAAGTCATGCAGTAGTAAGACGGAGACAACACAATATGCGGGTATCAGTCTGTTGGTATTACGTCCTCTTAAAAATTTTAAATTTCTGAAGATACGACAAAATAGTAGTAACCATGGTATTGTCATCGATGAACGCGGTAAATTTTTAAAACCTCTAAGACTTTATAAATATTTAAATAATATACCTAAAAAAGTATAAATCTGTGGCATTATTTGAATTCTTTTATTTAAATACTATACAAAACTGGACTATAATTATTGTGATTAAAAAAAAAAGCTTGAAACTAGGCATGATTGAAAGTAAAAGTAATAATTAATAAATGTAATGCGAAGACTTTAATGTACTAAAAATTCATCAAATATATGCAATATAATATAATATAATATTGCCTTAAAAAAATTACATTCTTTTATTACCCTAAAAATTACTTAATTCAATCTTTTATGTATTTTGTATTTATCATATGTTTATACATATTCCGTATGTCGCAAAAAACAGGGTACACTTTATCGCTCATTAGTCATTATGCCCTGTAAATATCTTTCAATTATGTTTGTAGGACATTAAACTAGACTAATCAGTAATCATCTTAAAATTCTTTTAACTCATGTATTTTACACATGCATTTTTTTTAAATGGCAACCTCTATATTAAATATCATTTTCGGATTGATCGACATTTTTCAAGACATTTTGATGAATCAACTTTTTTTTTTCTGGTTAGAACCGACAGCAGAGGAGGATCTGTTTGCACAATACTACTCATCTGCTGCCATCGTTTATTGATGAATAACGTTAAAACATTTAATCACAATACTTAACACCGAATATATACATATTACAACACCTAATGCTACAACATAAATGGTCACATAGATAAATGATGACGATCTCATTTGTGTATAACAATATATACTTATAAAGTACCTACCTATAGCTATTATTTTAATCATTTTTTTTAAATTTATTTATTTGATTATTGGTCAAGATGGTGTTTGAATTTAGAAGCGCATGCATATTTTTACTAAATTATATTTTTTTGTAAACTATTGAATAAAAATGTTGACTAAAATATAAACGTGATTACTGATTTTTAAAGTTATATAGTGTATGCATTAAATTTCCTTACAGACGATGTCAGACGCCAGCTAGTTTGTAGAATTCCAAGTCAAACATTTTCTCCGAATACGAAATTAACAATTAATTTTTATTATAATAAATCAATTATGGCAAAAAACACCAATATGCCAAGCATGTGGCACCACAATCACAATCAAACACATCTTCGTAGATTAAAAAATATACGAAAAACAAAGAGAAGAACTAAACATAAACCATGACATCGGAACAAGTCTTGGTCCAAATCCAGACAACGAACTGTTTTTTATACGAAACTGCCGATAATAAGTTATAACTATTTTAAGTAAATAATAATAAATGGTTGTCGCATGCCAAACTGAACCATACAAACTATAGTCCACAATGTTCATAAATAGTAAAATCTACAATATTTCATGAGTAGGGTTCGGAAATTATAGGAGCAAAAAAAGGCAAAATTGCAAGAAAAAATTGTAAAATATGCACGAAAAATCGTTAAATATGCAAAACAAAAATTTGTTTATTTATTAAAAGTGTGTTACTTATTTGTTAATATAAACGAAAAAAAATTCTAAAAACAGTAAAAACATATATATTTAAAAAAATTGAATTATTTAAAACTCTTATATTATATATAAAAATAATGGTGCGTTATCGGTTGGCATTTGAGATTTTATTGAACTGAAAAAATGTAACATTAATTAAAATTAATTGATTAAGAGGGGTGGAGTGGCCGAGCGGACTAAGGCGTCGGTTGCGACGCACGCAGTTGCCGGTTCGAATCTCGGTCATGGGCGGAATCGCTCTTTGGGCATTTCGCGGTGTCTGGAGAGAGAGGCCGCCGCCCAGACGCGGATCCAGAAAAATTTAACAGGGGGTGCTCAAAAAAAAAAAAAATTGTTACACCTTACTATTTATTTAAATATTACCATTTTCTATTTGATTTATTAGTGCTAACTTTTTTTTCATAATAATTGGTGCTTTCTGCCGTTGACGCGTGTCGTTATACACACGAGTATACTTCGAAAACAATTAACAATAATAGTTATTATTGTCGTAGTGACGGCGATAACAAAAAGCACCGAAATTATTATTATTATTAATTTTATTTTGAAAAATAACAAATTATATAATTTATAATATAAATTTATTTTGTTGGTGTCTTAGACATATATATATGTCTAGATGACAGGGGTGCCTGAGCACCCATAGGGCCCCTCTGAATCCGCACCTGCGGCGCCGCCCCCCAACCGGGCATGGCAGAAACTTACGGGTGCCCATTCAAAATTCTGCCAAAAACCCACGTGTTAAAACCTTCAGTACCTTCCCCTACAGTTCCCCAGGCTAATCAGTTGTCAAAACCTTAACCCTATAAAAAAAAAATTGATTAAGATTTAAGAATGAAAAAAATTAATTTTTTTAGAAAATATTAAATATGCACACAAATATGCAAAAATCAATGAAAATCGACGAAATATGCACTTTTTCTCTAAAATTATTGGAATATGCAGAATATGCATTTTTAATTTTCAATTTTTAAACTCAATACCTATTATTGTATAGCTCGGATTTCTAGATTGGTCTGCTATAATTCGACAGCATACAGAACAATATACAACTCCAAGGCCGTAGCCAAGGGGAGTAGGGTTCAGACCCCCACCCCGAAATTTTTTTTGAAATAATATTAAATAGTTTTTTTTTAATGCCTATATTTGAAACATTACATCATATATATATGATACATTGATACATATACACGTATACGTGTCACTGTTATTAAAACACATAAATAAATAAAAMGGTATATTTTATATATTTATATTGTGTTAGATAAGCGATAACTTATCTTATGTACTTTCTTAAAACCTAATGTATAGCTCACATAATACCTACAGTATCTAATCTTAATTATTTTGGTAATCGATGGTCAGTAGAGCCGTACTATAACAGATTTTGTTTATGCCATTGTCAGTAATCACGGTGTGCATTAAATCGTACACACGACCAGTGGCGTGCAGATAAGACACAAATGGGGCCTAGGCCCCACTTGAAAATAAGGTGGGTATGGGTTTTTTTTTTATGGCAGACGAAATGGACCAAGATTTTGGAGAAAGATAGATCATCAAATGTTTTTAACGCGTTGTCCCAGTGCAATCTAGATTTTTTTCCGTAAATTTATTATTTATTAAATGTGTTGGGAACTTTGTCCGTATCAACATCAACACCTGAAAGGACGTTTTCAACTTTAAAACGCCTAAAAACGTTTTCAACTTTAAAACGCCTAAAAACGTTTTTAAGAAACAGAACCGGACAAGAAAGGTTAGTAGGACTAGCCCTCATGAGTGTACATAGGCATATTGAAATTGACACTGAAGAAGTTATCAAAAGATTTTCAAATACTTCAAGGAAAATTAAATTAATATAGGTAGCTGTATTAATTGTAGTACGTTATATATATATATTTTTATTTTTTTGGTATATGTATTGTATATAGTTAAATGCCTTAAATGGTATACTGAAGTGCAATGAATTATAATTATTAATGTAGAAATATAAGATGATGAACSTAGTTACCTACAGAAATTTTTAAAAAAAATATCATTTTCTTAA